ACTTCAGTAGTGAGTATCATCTGATCTAATATTTTTTAAATGATGACATCAAACAGACAAAAAATAAGAAGTTATGGGCAAATATTGGTATTTTAAAGACTAAAGGGAAAAAATGTAAACAAATTAACAACATAATTACAAAATAACACATTTTAGGCAAAATTTAGACACAAACTGGGGACAATATTTTCCTGGTATACAGGGTTTATTTAGTTGTCTGGAAATGTAACACGTTAAAAAAAAAATACCGCGATAATACCGAAACCCGTGATCATTTTGGTCACAATAACCGTGAGGTTAAATTTTCACACCGTGACAACCCTAGTTGCAAAGCAATTCCCCAACAGAACAACAGAGGGTGTAGCCCTGTTCTGGTATCTTGTCATGTATCATGTCCAAGATAGTCCATTTACTACTATGTTTACACAGCATTTTTTTGTATGTCAGAGACTTTTAAACACGTGCAAATTTGTTCCTCATTCTCGTCCACCTCTTCATGCACTCACCGTCCACCACTAAGCGCTTTCTGCATGTCTTTGTACTTCTCCAGACACAGGTGAATAAAAAATTCATATTTTTAGAGTTCTTTTCTGCGAGGTATTCTTCTAGCTGCTCCGTGTCTGTCACTGGATAGCTTCTGCTTTCTTTATGTTTTGAGGGCGCAATGGCGGCACTGTTGACAAAAGAGGTGTCCTGACCAATCACAAGCGTGCGTTCTTTGTTTAGAAAAGTGGGCTTGACTCCGCCCGTCCTTGCGAGCTTGTTGGAGGGATCTTGGCAAGGATAATGGCGTAGCGTGTCTCTGTACTGACACAGACTGATAAGCTTAAATTAGGCTTAAGCCACACCCATCTACTTCCGGACCATGGGTCCCTAGAAGGAAAGTGACTCATTTGTTATGTTCCATAGATTTCACATATGATGTCTGTGAATTTTAAAGACACATTCTATACCAACAAAGTGTTTATTTTCAAATGCGGGGCAAAAATTACTTTAGGTTTTGTGTGAAAATGCATCCAGGACTACAAATGTGCATCACCAAATTGATGTCATCAACCAGACACGGTAGAAAAGCAGAGAATTTAGAAGACTTTGAATCCTTTTTCAGGAAGAAAGATCCACAATAAATCTTAAACTTCACCTCATCTCTACTGTAAGTCACTAAAGCCAATAATCCCAACACCAGTAGCATCTACAGCTGGCATGTTTTTTATGGTTGGGCTTGTGTTGGAGGGGAGCTGGTTTTTAGCTCCGCCTCAGTGGGGTTCTGGGTTGTTGTGTGGATATTATGGGCTGACTGGGAGTGCTAGAACCATCTCATGTTTGCTAATATAACACTGAGCTATTAGACTAGTTCTATTATGGTTTCTGATTTGGTCGTTAGCTTTCTTCTTAGTGAAATCAAAGCAAATTGCTTCCCTTGAGTCGCAGCCACGGGAGACAGACGGAGCATCAGAGACAGAACAAGAATACTGAACAGAATCACTAGAGAGTCTCAAGACATCAAGTGAGATGCTGAACCCAAACAAAGGTGTGATTTGTCCTTGATGTCCACTATCTGCCCTCACCATCAGGCCACCTGTGTAAATGACACTGCAAAGGTAAAGCCACTGTCTGCTTCAGCCACTGTTTCATTTCCGATCACCCCGACAGAAAATCAAGCTGCTATTAACCTCATAGCAAACCAGCGGTGCCCACTTTATAATTGAATTACCCGAGGTGGTAGGATCAGCACCGATCAATTCCTACTAAAGGCAGGGCCAGATTAACACTTCGTTGTACCCTGGGCAACAATATTAAAGGGCCCCATCATCACAACCCAAGGATCACCATAATGTGGTCACATACAGAACATTTTACTGTAATATGCAGTAAATATACTCAATACTTGAATGCCTGACATCACGTAACACACTCAGGGTAACCTTTGACCCACCTCGTGTGGACTGACCAATGAGGAGAGGGTCTTGACTTGAGGCCCTCTCTTCATTGGTCAGTTTGCATGAGACTGACTCTCAGCCACTCTCAAATGCCGTTCAAAGTCAAACTGTCCACCCGGGCTTTTGCGGTCTGTTTAATATAGGGTGACCATATTTCCATTTCCAAAAAAGAGGACAGGGGATCTGTGCCAGTGACGTCACACTATGGCAACGCCACACAAACCATGTTGGGGCCCATTTTTTATTGCAAAATCTCATTTTTCTGCTTTAGTGCTGCAACAAGGTTTTATTAATAAGAAATTATTCTACCTTTTGTTTTACTACAGCATCGGTACGCTTCCTGTGCACAGATTATTAAGGATGTTTGTTTCAGCTGTGAGATTAGATGATAGGATCAATGAAAAAGTAAGTTGTCACACACTCCATGGAAACTTCCAGAGAATCCACAAATAGTGGCTTTCAAATGGTTTTGTTACTTTTTGCAAGTTTAGAAAAGCAGCAGATGAGACAGCATGTCTGATAATTTAGTTTTTCATCTGATAATATTAGAACATGTCAGTAACATCTGAGTCTTTTTTACAAACACTGTATAACTAATACTCCTGGAGAGGGTATGGATTACACAGAGGCTTCTGAGAAGCCCAGTTAAGGGGGTGGGGGGGGGGGGGGGGGTCTGTTTTGCCTTGGCCCCAAAAATGCCTTGAAACGGCCCTGGGTGTGTGACTGAGTTTTGAAGGTGATCTGAACTGTATCAGATGTATAATTATTACATGTGTATAACTTATTATTTTATACAGGTAAAAGCGTGTAGTGGAGATAAATCTGCCTACATTTTACTTTTCAACACTTTGTTTTGTTTTCTTGTTTTTATTGAACTATTTTCCTGTCCTGTCTGTCTCTCATCTTCCTGCATCTCCTCTAAACTCTGCAGAAAACCTGCTGCCTGGATTCTTACTTTTTCACCTCACCAGTTACTTCTGAGCAGATCAAAGGGATCTCCTGACCGCAAAGAGGAGAGCGCGTTTCGATGCTGCGTCAGTGAGGTGAAATCACCGCAGCACAGGTGATGAGCTTCGCAGTAGCAGAGCACTTCAGGCACAAATAAGACAGAAAGTAAAGAACATGAGCGGACAGGAGTGATTGTCTGTTAATTATAGTTTTTTGGTGCATCACTTTGAGAATGGACCATGCGCTGGACGCAGCAGCCTGGAGCGCTGCTCGCCAACGATCAGCGCTCTGCCGCTCTCTGTGCTCTCTGCTCAAATGAGTCCATGAAAAGTGGACAAATGGTCACCCTAGTTTAATATAAAGCGGGAGATTACAGATACAGTATTTTGCTCGTGCCCTCGCTGCCCTGGGCCTGGGCCCTTTAGAGTTCGTGGACCCCCGGGCAATTGCTCAGTTGCCCATATGGTTAATCCGGCCTTGCCTAAAGGTGGCTACAGGATTCCAGCCATCACATTTAAAATATACAATCACACAAGCTTAGCGCCCACCCGTCTGTCTCTGTTAGCTTTTGTATTAAACTACAAATGTAACTGTAGAGGAAACAAACAACCCTCACACCCAAGAACAGAACCCGTTTCTTTGCCTCAAAACTTTGCCCAGTAAGTAAAGAATCTGCAAAGTTTAAAATGTGTCGGTTTTCTGTTTTATCTGCATGGTTTTACATCTGTTCTGACTCTTCAGCAGAACTTTGGTCAATGCTTGGTTTGAAATATGCTCATAAATTTGCCTTGCAATGCCTTCCTTTATTATGAGAAGGAGGTTAAAAGAAGCTGGGCAAACAGTTTATGGAGATCCACCCTCAACTCAGGTCAGCTTCAACCCAAAAGCAGTTGCGGAACATAAAATATTCTAAAATTCCTCTTAAAGAAGAAGAAAGAAAAGGAATGAAACAAACTATTGATGGGGAAGATTCCTTTCTTCATTGATATGCGTGAGAGGGAATGCTTCATCTCTTTGAGGGTCCCTTTAAAGATCAAGCTTTATTTAGGAAGCATAACACACATAATAAATTATACTTTAATAAAAGGAATCGGACATAAAATGATGCTTGCTTGTTGATTATATTCCAAAAGCCCACCGTTGATTGTTTATTTCCATTGGTAAGCACCCTTACTGATATCCTAGTCAGGATGTCTGGAGGTGTTTGGGGCCTTTCCTGCTGGGAGGAAATCCATAGAATAGAACAGAATAGAAAATTGCTTAATTGTTCCTCACTTGTGACATTTTGGGAGCCCGAGAATGACCCAGAAGTCACTGCAGACATTTGATAATGATTAGAGAAACTGGAAAGTGTAGAAAAGTGCCAAACCTTCTGCACCAGTTGCTACTGATACCTGTGGTGGATGGATGGATGGATGGATGGATGGATGGATGGATAGATCCAAAGAAGCTATTAAACAGCTGAACAACAAGGTTCTTGGTAACAGCCGGTCACTTTGGCTTGTTTGAAACTAGGCTCACCTGAAGACATGTTGTGGTCTGCACCTCATGATTGTTTTTTAATGTGTGTTTCTTCTCTGTGCAGGTTGGCTGTGACTCTTCCTGCAATTCCTACCCCTCTGTGGAGCACCGGGGAGTGCCACAGCTGACTGCAATATCATGATTGCCACACCTTGTATTTAAGCAGCTGTTCCCAGTGCATGGTGTGGAGTTGTTTTGTTTTGTAGTGCTGCTTTGAGTCTGTGGATCGCCATTTGTAGTTTTGTTTCAAGTAAAAACCCGTTAAGCCTTATTTCCCACTTATGTGGTGATTTTTTTGTTATTAAAAGAACTCAGAACTGGATCAAGTCATCCTGCCTCCTGCATTTGGGTTTATTTCTGTATACCCTCACGTGACAAGACACTAAGGCAGCCGTACTGACCATTTCAGACTAACTCAGATTTTAGGCTTTACTCAATATTTCAATACAAAGTTCTTTACATCACTAACATCAATGGCTATATGAGTAATGACAATCCATTTGGCTCATCATTAATCATCTAATTTCACAGAAAGCATTCATATTAAACAAGAGATAAAGCTGTGCAGGAAGACCAAAGGAAGTGTCTTACCAGTGCTGTCATCATAAACTACCGTCACCGTCTTCCACTTGAAGAAGTGGACGAGGTCTAGGATAGCCCGGCTGAGGGAGGAGAAGTCCGGATAGAGGCTTACGTAGAAGATGTCTCTGTTGTCTGATACTTGGTGCTTCCACTTGGTCTGAATGTGAGGGACACCCAGGGCATTGCAAATGGACTGAACAGCATTGGCAGAGGAACTGTGAGAGGGGCCAAAGATGGCTGCCACACCAAGAGAAAGCTGGTCACAAGCTACAGAGAGAAACGACATGACTGGTTAGCTTCTTTTTCCGTTGATTATTTGTTTTTAACAATAATCACAGGTCATTTATTCAAGACTTCATTGTGACTCAGAACCGAGCCGAAGTTATCTCAGATTTAGACATATTCATTAACAACATTTGAGAGTAATCGGTGTTTTCTGTATTTAGAAAATGTTTCAGATTCTGGAGTTCATAAAAAATGGGAGCAAAAACAAAGTGTTGCAGCTCCAGTTTTGTTCAGGATGTTGATCTGAGCGCACTGGTTTCTGTGCTGCTTTAACCGTTGATTAGATTGTAAATGTAATTTCATTATATGCTCACAATGACAACAAAAGCTATTCTATTCTGTTTAATTCATTCTCATATTGAGCTATCCGTTTCCTCACTATTTGATTTCATAAATCTGTTCACTGCAGCAGCTTAAAATCTAAGAAACTTAAGAAAACAGAACACACCTTTCCTGGAAGCTTCAAAGCTGTCGTAGATGTTTACCCTTTGGATGTCGTAGGTGAGAGTGGTGTTTGGCAGTAGGGTTCGGTTTCTGTTGATTGTGTTCAAAGCAAATTTAAAGGCCAGTTCTTCAGCACCGGATGGACCACTTTCAATGGATTCGAATATCCCTCCTGTCAAAGAACGAGACACAGGATTAATGAGATTGGAGATGCTATCATTGTTTTAGCTTTAGCTGAGCTGGAGGCAGGGGAAACTGCCCCAGGAGGGAAACAAATAGTAAAAACACATCAGCTTCACAACTTTGAACTGTTCATCCTCTAGAAAAAACCTTTGAAATGACTCTGAATCATGGCAGATTTCTAACGTATGAAGTCGTCATCATTTGCCTCAGTTGTCTGGGGAGAGCTTGTTTCTTCTCAAGTTCTAGGTGAACACAACCACAGGAAATAATTACATTATCTTGGTTATTAAAACTTAGAAAGTTTTACCCGATTTAACATTTTCCAGGATGTGTAGAAACCTGACAAACGTCAATAAGGGTGAAGTGCTTGCCAAAGGTCAGGAGTACATAGATAAAATATAGTAATATAGTATTAGAAACTTGTAATATCCAAAGTTCAGAGCTCAGAGGCTGGATTTAGTTGAAAAAAATGATTTTGATAAAAGCAGGAAGGAATCCAGGAAACTATAAAGAAACAGCAAACACAGATCACATAATGCAAATAAAGCAGAAAACAGAACAAATATGAAACAGTAGGAGCAAACAAAAGTCAGAGGGGTGAATACAGAGGTGTGCGATGCACAGGAAGTAGAGAAATGTGAAACGATCAGTGGGCAAAATGGAAAACTAGGTAACATAACAAGAGGTCTAGGGTAAGAATCATGTAGACAGCCATTTTAAGGTCATTGTAATTAAATTGTACCTAGGTTACCATGGTAACTTGTGTTGGAAACCTGATGTAGTCTGCAGTGGTTTTGGTTTCAGTGGAAAGAAGATTTTCAAGAGCTCCTCAATCCTACAGACACATTTAAAAGAGGAACAAGAGCTGGGGAACCAAGGGGTGGATGAAGCAATCTCTAAAGCAGAAGTCCTACGGAGTGACGGAGATCCAGGGGTTTACAAGGTTCATCCTTGGTACCTCTCCAACATCGTGTGGATATCAGATGTGGCGTCTGTGAAGGGGCAGATTGTGGTGGTGGTTCCCATTTTCAAGAAGGGGGACGAGAGGGTAGATTATAACAATTGGGAGGGTCACAGTCGGCCTCCTTGGAACGGTCTATTCCAGGGTGCTGAGGCTGTTTAAAGGCACACTAAGTACGTTTTAACGTACTTTAACCCCCCCACCCCCACCCCCACCCCCAGGTCCGAGCTATCTGCAGCAGACAAACTATTAATATTCATAAAACTCTTCCAGAGTCATTCCTGTGCTGACCCTTTAAGAATCTAATGTCATAATTTGAACTTTCCTTATTTGTTGTAGTTCCTCCAAACTACCTGTTGGAGGAACTACCTTTATTTTATTTTGTTTGTTGTTGGAATAAAAATAGACGTGACTAAAGGAAATGTTTTCAAAAGCAGCCTTCACAGGCAGTGGGCCTTTGGTGGGTACTGTTTTGCAGATCAGATGGACAGGCCAGCATTGGGCCTGGACCCGCTTGTAACTGGAGGTAGAATCCACGATCAATGCACTTTGATCGGCTGGCGGATCAGTCAGGCTCTTGGTGAGCTGCGGAGAGCAATGGGGGCAGATTGAAGTGTTTTGTTTGGGCTTGCCCTATGGTCTGGATCTGTTGCCTCGGTGTCAGTCAGAGGCAAACCAGACGCCAAGCTTTATTTACTCTAAATGAGGGCACTTTACTGCAGAGCCCTGTCCGAAGCTGAATGTAATCTGTACGCACTACTGCAGGGGAACTGCAGGTCCCTCGTGTCACAAGCAATTACCTCAGAACAAGCTGGTTCTGATCAATGCCTCTTTCTGTGATTTTACCTGGAAATACTCTCCATCTACATTTATGTTGTGCTGCTTAAAGCAGATAAAGGTACTGCAACAGGATCCAAACAGGAGGAATTCTAAAAGCAGCCCAACTCGTCAAGACGTTTGGTATTCCTCTCATCATAGCTGCATATTTTCCATTCTGTAAGGAGTTTGAAGGATTTAATAAGCATCAGTTAAGCAGGATGTGCTGTAACTGCAGAGCAGAGTGCATTCACAGGCAAAACTAAAGAGAAACCGCTTAGATCTGTGATTCAACAGGTGAATCTGAACAGTAACAAACATTTAGCTGATTACACGGACAGATGTGAGATGAGGGCTGGAAAACACCCATTCTTGTCCTTACCACTAATATTCTGTTCTGGATGTTAAAGCTGCATCCTCAACAATCAACATTAAATATTTGTTTTGTCTGTATTTACTGATTTCAGTTCAGATTTAAACCATTTAGCCATGGTCCTCATCATTTAGACCATGCTGCATCTTGGTAAGCCAAGCCAACTTTGTTTATTAAACACTTTAAAAGCAACAAACAGTAAACAAAGTGTGTAACACAAGTTTAACAAAACATGTTTAACAGGATAAAACAATAAAAGCATAGATCCAGTAAAAGCAACACTTAAAAAGGTCAATAAAATCAATTAAAGGCGAAAAACTCATGCTGGGTCAAAAGCCAAGTGTAAAGGGAGGGGTTTCAACAACAACTTAAAGTAGTGGTTCCCAGCATGGGGTCTGCGATGATCCAAAAGAGGTCTCCACAATTTTGTCTGTGCTGAGATAGTGAGGTTACCAAGATAATATTTGTAAAAATTGTATTCATAAAATCTAGATAACACACCCATTAGAAACTCTGTGTAAAAGGAAACTCTGTAAGTCTGTGTACAATTTGTAACTATTCACTTTTAATTGTGTGTATGTTGGGGTTGGGGGACCTGGCTTGTCTTGGACACAGGAAAGGGGGTCATTGTGAAAAAAGGTTGGGAACTAGTGACTTAAAGCATCAATAGGAAATTTAGAAAGCAAATTAGCTTAAAATGTATTTTAATGCCTCTTACGATTCTAACATAGTATAGCTATAAATTCATAGTGAAGATTTTTTTTAATTTTCAAAGTGGTTCTCTTGCATTAGTCTAAACACCTACACAGGTTTAGGAAGCAACTATTACCCATCCAGTTGTTGGTCTCACTGAACCACTGCACTTCTGCACTTCCCTGGGTCCTCCATTCATTACACACCTGAGTATTTAGCAATAAAACACACTAGGTGTGTTCTCCACTCAATAATATTGGAGGACAAACAGACGGCTGCTACCACTTCAAATTTAGGACAAACTACCAGAGTCCCAAAAAAAATACCATTTGACGTCAGACAATAAAAGACGTTTGGATGTAGAAAACAGCAACTGGTGTTTAACACGCTATAGTTTCCTCCGGCAATGTTGGTTTCCAGTTCCGGTGGATGCGGAACAAGGGAAGACACCCGAGGGGAGGGGTGAGTGGTTCATGACTGTGTTTGCATTCAAAACCTCACTTGTTTGCAGATTCGCTACAGCAGCTTTTCAAGTTTCCAGCAATGAGGCCTTTCTAATGTTTGCTGGTCCACAGTTTGGGACCAGCGACAGTGGAGGCTCTGTTCCCTCTGAGCTCCAGCTGGTCAGATGACCTGCCTGAATGACCGAGGAGAAGAGTGTACATGCTCAGAAAAATGGGGCAAGACTATGTAACCACTTAAAAACAAATAAAAGAAGTTTAAAATGAGCTCTAAATTGGAACGCAGCCAGTGCATAGAGGATACAACAGAAGTTATGTGTTCCCTCAGCGTGCTGGTGTTGAATGGCAGCAGACTGCACCAACTGAAGCTGGGCAGAGAAAACTTATCTAAGCCGAGTTGCAGCATGGATTAATGTTTTAAAGTCTTCTGTAAACAAGATTTTTTTTTACCTTAGCTAAAAGTCTTGGAAAAAATAAGTAGAATGTGGCAACTGCACTGATCTGATTGTCCAATGTAAAACTGCTGTCCACTTTAAAACACAAATTTGTCACTGTTGGCTTTCTAAACACTGCCAGAGAGCCTAAGTCCATGGCAGTTGGCCCGTTGGAGGTACCACCACCTTTTCTTTTAATTAGTAAATTTTTTAAAGTTAAACGCCTTTCAGGATTACATTCAATCCAAGCAAACAGCTAGAGAGTGTGTGTTGTAGCAGACTGTTTGAGAGACAGATACATCCATCTGTGTAGCGGTGGAAGGCCTTCTTATGCCTCCTGAAAATGGACCCAGCAGATATCGAACAAAAAGCAGAGGACCACCTGTCGAGCCATGTGGAACCCCTCAAAACAACGGAACAGAGGAAGTACAGAAACCATCTAGTGAAACAGAAACTTTTCCTCCATGCCTCCTGTAAAATGTTATTTAAAGCTTTTGATTACTTAGAAACAAAGAAACATAAGTGGACATAATGACCCACTCAGGGAGGAGCTAGAAGGGATTCTAATATTTTTAAAGAGGCATTGTTAAAACCTCAGGTTGGAGGACGTTTGCTGAACCACTGTGCTTTATTACATCTCCATGGCTGCCAAGTCCCTTTATTTTTACCCACTCCAGGGGTCTCATTTATTAAACATTGCGTAGAATCCTTACTAAATCCGTACTTAAGCTCAGCAAAAAAAAATTACTTACGCCAAGTAGGTTTGTGATCTATCAAACATGGAGTGCGCACAGTTGTACACAATCTCCTCTTCATAAATCAGAAACTATCTAGAAAGCTTCTCAGCTGCTTTTTAGTCACATCCCGCCCTCACCACGCCCACTTACTGCCATAAATAGTCACTGCAAAGTGCCTTGTGGATCTCATGCATATGCATAACCCGGCTGTTGCAGCGCTCCGCCAATGACGATGGCGACCGTAGATCAAGGCAGATCAAGGAAGCGCTATTTCACAGAAGCAGAAATTCAGGTACTTGTGGGTGAGTTGGAGAAATGAAAGGAAGTGCTTTTGCAAAACAAATAAGAGAAAATCCACGGAGTGGCACAGCGTTGCTGAAGCCATCAATGATGTGAATTCTTCAGAGAGATCTGTGGCGGATATAAAAAAATGGTCCACTCAGGATTCAATCCCCAGACTCCCAGGTGAGAGTCACACACACTAATCAGTCAGCCAAACGGCGATCTCACTTAA